GACAAACTGAAAAATTGTACTTTTCTATATCATCTACAGATAGGAGTCACTCAAGTTGAAAAGCCTATAATGCTCTGGAACAAACAAGAAATAATTTTCTGTTTCTACTCCCAGTTTTAAGGCAAATTATTATAGAAACTCCAGAAAAAAAAAGAGTAAGTTAAAAAAAGCAGAGAGCTAAATGCCTCTGATGAGGGTATCTTGTAGACTGCATAAGTGTATATTTGAATACCAGGTAATGCCAACTTGTTGATAGGGTGGTAGACGGGGACTATGGAGAGACAGAAAGTGTACCAAGAAAGGGCTGGGAGTCCTTCAGCAGATCTGGCAACACTTTCAATGATGAAAGGGCTAGACTTCTCTGAGTATTCACTAAGAAACCATCCCCAGGGCCCAGAGAATGTCCTCTCCTTACTCTCTCACACTGGCTGCACCAGAATGAGCTGCCATCAACTCAGGATCCTGCACTGTCCTCCCTTCCAGGTGCACATAGGGACATGCATCACAAGAGGAGCGCAGAAAGAGCCATGGAATTACCTTCAGCTGTTTCTTTTATGGCTTAGGACAAGGTAAGGTCCTCACAATACTGCAAGTTTGAGGTAGCACAGAAAGAAACCTCTAGATAGAACCTACCTTCAGAGTCCTAAGCATCTTGAGATTTACTTTGGGAACTTCCTACCTGAAATGGCCTTTGGTTGGTGGCTCTATTGCAGTTACTCCCCACTTTGTCCCAAAACATTCATGAAAATCATCAACACAGAAATTGGACCTGGAGGGAGAATAAATATATTGAAATAACAACATATGGAAATACAATATAAACATATGAACATTTGTTTATATTTATTTCATAGACATATGAAATAACAACCACCAAAAAATAATGAAATAAAAGGAAGATTAATAGTAAAAAGAAGGAGTACTGGAAAGTGAAAACAAAGTGTGATTGGACTTGAAAGGTTACAAAGCTCACCACTCTTTCTCCTTTTACCTCTTCGGTCCTTTGACCAAATGTCATTTCAACCTTAAGGACTAAGACCCATAGACAGTTCACTCCCCTTTTTCTTCTTCCAAAGGTTGGGAGTTACAAGTCCCAGCAGGTGCCCTCAGGAGAGACTGAGGGGATGGAGCTGGTACAGCAGAGCCACTCTCGACTACACTGTCACCAGATCCAGCCTCTGAGGAAAAGACATAAGGGATAGCACCCTGCATGGTACATTTTCTGGTTCTACATTAACAGATAACACTGGAAGATTTAGGTCTTTCCTAAGGCCCACGGCTGGGGATCATGGCCAGCAGCAGACTTGGGCATATACACTGAACTAAAGTACATAAGAGCCTCCTGAGAATGAGAACAGAGATTTGGAGTGAAATTAGGAAAAATTTGGATTAAAAAAATTGTGGATAAAGAAAATGTGTGTGTGTGTGTGTGTGTGTGTGTGTGTGTGTGTGTGTGTGTGTAGATGAGAAGGTCTGGGAAACCAAAGTTCTAAAGGAATTGATTCTCAAGTTCTAAAAAATGTAGAAATGCTGCAAAGAAACAGAAGTTCCCAGGTCATTATAAGGACTGACCCATTTAACAAGGGTGAACAAATATCCATGATACAGGGGTTACCTGAAGCATTTGACAAGGACTATAGCCCCCACACTGATTCAGCCCCACCAAACTGGCATCTGTCCTTCCTGTTTTGACAAAGCTGCATGACTGATAATAAGATCTTGTATGAAACTGTAGATACATCCTCAGTTAAATACAGAGTTATCAATGAATGAACCAACAATTCCACTGCTAGTATAATAAAAAGATATTGTTAGTAACTCTTGTACAGAAATGTTAGAAGGGTTAGCCACCATTTTTAAAAAGTGGAAAGAGTCTAAATGCCCAACAATGGGTAAATGGATGAACAAAATATGCCCTAGCCATACAGTGGAATATTATCTGGCCTTGGAAAATGAGTGAAGTTCCAATTCATGCTATTATTGGTAGAACCTTGAAATATTATCTTACATGAAAAGCCACAAATTATCTGATTATATCAGTATAAAATGTCCTGAACATTCATATCCATAAAGACAGAAATTAGATTAGTGGTTACCAGGGACTAGAGGGAGATGGGGATTGGAAGTAACTGCAAGAAAGCTTATACATTTCTTCTCAGTGTGGTGGAAATACTCCTGAAGTAGAGAATGGTGGTGTTTTCAGATTTTTGTGCATTTTTAAAATTCACAAATGTGTATATGTTGAAGGAGGGACGTGCATTATATTTCAATAAAGATGTTATTTGGTAAAACTATCATAGGAGATTATGTTTGTAACAAAGGAAGAAAAAATCCCCATAATATGTATTAGACCTTTCTGATACATAACATATACTTTTTTGGACCTTTATAAAGAATCTTACCAGCTGGGCACACATGGTGGCACACTGTAATCCCAGAGTGTTGGGGGGCTGAGGCAGGAGGATTGCAAGTTCAAAGCCCTACTCAGCGACTTAGTGAGGCCCTAAGCAACTTAGCAAGACCCTGTCTCAAAATTTAAAATAAAAAGGGATGAGGATTTAGCTCAGTGGCTATGAATCCCTGGGTTCAATCCCTGGGAAATGAAAGAAGGGAGAAAAATTCCTATGTAAAATTGGTTGTGGAATCCTCCATGCTAAGTGGGGAATAATTGGGAGAACTGGTAATGTTGGTTCTAATAATGGGCCTAAGAGGTATAATAGGATGAGGGAGTGAGACATGACTAAGATGAGATGTAGTGTCAAGGCCTCTGTCTTGAGATTGCTTAGAAGGCAGATCTTTAGCCATGTGAATCACACTAAGTCTTTGTACAAAAAAAAAAAAAAAAAAAAACAAGTCAGAGAGCAAACCCTAGGGATCACATCAGTGTTTGCTAGTAGTGATTCAAACAATGCCTGTCACAGCTGTAGGCTGTAGTGTTGAGGATCACTGATACTCTCTACATCTGGATTTGGCTATACATATAATAAAAATTTTTGAAATGTATCATCTCAATGGATTTCTAAGGATTAAATGCATAAATATAAGAAAAATCGGGCACAGATTAGCATGCAATAAAAGTGGCCCCCCTTTCAAATTGTGAAACCCAAGACAGGAGGCTTTTAAGCATTCAGAGTTTTGTTTTTGTTTCTGTCTTTCAAGATTGGGGCATAGATGCAGAAAGTGGGGCTGATTTGAGTGGAATGATTATTCATCTTCTAATAGGGTCATCTGATCAAAAAAGATGCCACGTTCTCACTTTGATTACAGAGAAAACCACAATTTCTTACTTCCTTTCTCTTGAAAAAGTAAATAAAGCTGTTAACCATTTTAGACCTGTCAGTGAGAGGACAGTAGAAAAATAATGCCTGCTCATTCTTGGGACACCGACCTCTTCTGACCAGCCCTCTTGAATACAGAATCTTGACTCTCAAGGAAAATTATAAAAATAACCTGTGAAGAAAAAGTTGGGCTACAAGATAATTTTTCATCAGTTTTCTAGACTCCAATCTAGAATTTTGCGTTGGACTGAATTTCATGATCATAATAAGAACACGAAATATGGAGTGTGTGAGAGCTACACTAGACATTAAAGCACACCTTTCAAAACACCATTTTGATTCTAGTGGGAAAGAATGAGAGCAATACTGTTCTAAACCATGTGTGTAGAGATGTGAGAGCAGGAGACCATCAGGGATTGCAGAGTTTTAGGGATGGGGGGAGAAGTATCTAAATAGGGATAATTAATTATGTTGGTTTTACCTTATGTGCCCATCTTTCCACCACTCTCTCCCTCAATCGAATGTATTTTTTTCACACTTTTCAAAGTAAGTTGTAGAAACAGCTGGGGTGAGGCTCAGTGGTGTATTGCCCTGGGTTAAATCCCCAGTACCCCTAAAAAGTCAAATACTAGAGAAGAAGGTAGATGATGTGGCCTGCTTGATCTTGCCCAGGAACTCTCCTATATTATCTGTGACATAGTCTGTCACAGAATCAAAAGTGACAGTCTCAGGTATGTACAGGAAAAAAAGTTCTTTGTGTTTTTTGATACTTTTCTGAGTAAAGGGATGATAAAATTTTCTTTTCATTTGGAACCACCTTATTCATGATAATAAACATGCTTTTTCTTTCCCCTTACATGCATCTGAAGAGCTCTAGGTCTACCATGGATTCTTCAGTGTTGTTTTTAATAGGTGGAGAAATAACAAAGAACAGAACAGAGCCATCCTCTGTTCCAGGTCAACTTTTGTCCCTTCTAGTGCCTCTACACCTGGCACCTTCTCACTCTGGACTTTGAGAACTCCTCACACATCCCCACACCTTCTGCCTGACTCTTTGTGTTCATTTAGTCACATCTACAAATATATTTATTCTTGTTACTCAAATGCCTTATGTGGACCTTGCTTGGGTCTTAGTGCGAATAATCCAACTTTAAAGAAATCCTATGGAACAACTGGAGAAATCTGAATGCTAAATAGTTGCTGAATTTAAGGAATCAAATGTTGGCATGGTAGGAGAGAAGTGTGATTACATTTAGTAAAGACTCCTGACCTGTTAGACATAAATGCCAGCATATGCAAAGTGATATGGTGTCTGTCATTGGTTTCAAAATAATCCCATGTTAGTGGGAGAGAAGTGGGAAAAGAATGTACCAGTTTCTTGTGGCTCCTATCACAGATCACTACAAACTACATGTTGAAACAACTTGAGAAACTTTTGACACCCCCAAATTAATCTATGTGTGCTTTTAATTGGAAAGGCAAAGTAAAGCCAAATAAAATACACTGGTATTTTTTTAAAAAGCAAATAAAGCGAATCAACTATGGGTTCTCTTAGAGAAAGTAGTTCTCAGGTTACCTAGCAAACAACTGAATTTAAAAAAATAAAAACTCCTATGACAGCTCTGTTGCCACACTGGAGTGTACTCTCTCACTCCCTTTTGCTTGCTCTCTTCCCCTCTCTCCCTGGCTCTCTCCCTCCCCCTCCCCTCCCCTTCCCTCCACCCTCCACCCCCTCACCCGCCCCTCCTCTGGGCAGCCTGCTGCCTTTCTTGTCCTTCAAATATAAACACCAGAAAATTACCTAGATATTCTTTAAATCCCTCTTCTCAGAAGATTCCTTTGGCTCAAAAAGAGAGGTAAGAAACTTGTTTTGGTGGTGGTTGTTGTTTTTTCCTGCTTTCTCAACTGAGCTAAATTGTACTACGTGCTCAAAAACAAAATGAAAGAAAAACTAAAATACATTTCTAAAAGTTCCCTTCACATTCCTTTCACAATTTAAAATTTGAGCCAATAAAGTTTTAAAAGACTTTTCTTAATCTTAACTTATTTCATTTGCCAAGCCCAATTTATATATTTTAAATTATAGGACCTAGATATGACTATGAGTTTCACAGACAAAAACTATAAAATCTATTTCAGTTTATGCATTTGTGTCTATACATGTTTATTTTATAAATGTGTGATTTTTTTCTACCACTGATACATAAATGCTGTATTTTAATTAATTTAAGCAAAAAATGTGTGAATTTTTCTACCACTGATATATAAATGCTGTATTTTAATTAATTTAAGCAAATTAACTCAGCACGTATAATAAATAAAACTTATCCTCTTAAAATTCATATAGAGTAATTAATCCAAATCACTTTTGTTCATATGAGTTAATAAATCTTTGGTAAATAAATCCAGTTTTGAAATAGTTAGTAAAATAAAATAAAAAGTTCAAATTTGTCAGTATTTAAATATAATGGACATTTCTGCTTGGGTCTGCCAGTCAAACAGGTTATATTGTCTCTGCTAAATGTAGTAAGGCCATAAAATAGTTGCTACTTTGATATTTCTGATGCTTGTCTTGTCAGTGAGTTAAAGCTGTAAGGACCAGCTGTTGGGCCTCCTAAAGCCCTGCACATATCTTATTTTGAACTATGTCTTCAGTTCGAAGCCTCTGGATTCTAAGGTCTAGGCAGGTGGCCATGGTAAAATCTGGGGACACGTGTGTGTGTCTGAAACTCCTGGATCACCAGCTACAAGGCAAAGCTAAACAAATAGGGCTTATCCTCCCTGGCTGGGTTCTGCCTGCTGGCCATTATGTAAGGGGTCAGAGCCCACAGACATTCACAGCTGCCTGTCTTCTGTCCTAGGTTCTACACCCAGTGTATAAATCAAAGGACCCATACCAGATGGGCCCTGTTTCATAGCTGCCCTGAGAGCCATATAGGTGCTTGGGACACCACCTAACTAGGGAGAAGGAGGGACTGGGAAGGATAATGTTGTCTGATGTCTCAGAGGCCTTGGTTAAAACAAGGCTGGCTAAAGCCAGGCATGGTGGTGCATGCCTATAATCACCTGGGGAGGCTAAGGCAGGAGGATTACAAGTTCAAGGCCAGTGTCAGCAACTTAGTGTGGCCCTAAGTAACTGAGTGAGACCCTGTCTCAAAATAGGGCTGAGGTTGTGGCTCAGTGGTTAAGTACCCTTGGGTTCACTTCCCTGTAAAAAAAAATTTTTTTTTAAAGATGAGGCTGGTGCTGGAGTTGTGGCTCAGTGGTAGAGTGCTTGTTTAGCAATGGGGTCTATTCTCAGGACCACATACAAAAAAAGAAAAAAAAATTTAAAAAAAGGTCCATTGACTGAGTCAAGGTTAGCTTAGTTTTGCTTTAAAAATATAAGTAAATAAAATTGCAACTAAGAACTGAGACAATAATTAGTCTTATTCTTTACAAATGGTTTAGACATAATTATTAAAATTAAGTAAATTAAATATGACATCAAAGTAATGGAATAAAAATATAAAAACCAACTATGTCACAATAATAATTATATAATATATATTTACTAAAATAATTCCAAAAATCTTTTATTAACTTAGTCTTAAAGTTATACTATTTGACAGATATTTATAAAATGATGAAGTCATTTCTAAGAAACCTAAAATATAAAAACATTAATTACTAATTATAAAACTTGGTTCATATATTTTGACATCTTGTTTCTACATGGTATAGGAATGTTAAATATATAACTCTATTAATAATCATAAGAAATTGAGAAAACATATTTCTAGAAGTTATAAAATGGTAAACACTGATATAGGGCAACTCTCAGTGCTTCCTAGTTTTCACTAAAAATTAAGGTTGCTAAAAATTTAAAAGTATAATAAACATATGCAATTCTCTATGCAAAGATACAAAAACTAAGTTGTTTGAAAAAAATTATAAAGGCATAAATTCTTTTACTGGAAAGACGAAGTTTCTCTAAGCTCAGAGATTTTAAGTAAATTTAGTAAAAGATATAAAAACCAGATGGGTAGAAACTAGTAAGTAGTGGGGAAAGATGCAAAGAATGGTGTAAATATGAGGATATATTTTTGGTATAGAAACTTAAAAAGAGAAAAAGAATTTTTTGTTGTTGTATGAGAAAGAAATTTGTGATAGAGTAAAATTTTTATCTGACAGTTGAATGAATAGATTGCTCCACAATGAAAAAATATATGTGCAATATAGAAATAAAGATTTAAGCAATCATGAATGGTTTGTAAATGAAAAATCTTATTAATGAAAAGTTGTATGTGATCAAGTTGGCTATAATTAAAAAAAAACTTTTTATAGATTTGTCTAAAAGTTAGGCATCCACAAAGTTGAAGACAAAATGTAGTTCTTTGTGTTTAAAGCAATAGTGTTTTCTTAAAATAGTGATCTGTTCTTCATAAAAACTAGCAAGATGTTTGGTTTTTAATTCCAAAATCTGCTTTTAAAAAAATTTCAACCATTTTCTGAATTTTGCTTTTCCTTTTTACAGTATACATTTTTTAAAAAAATTAAAATTTTTTTCAATTAGTTACACATGACAGTAGAATGCATTTGTGGACTTTGATATGTCATACATAAATGTGGTGTGCAATAACTTTTCTGATTGTACATGTTGTAGAATCACATTGGTCATGCAGTCATATATGTACATACAGGAATAATGTCTGTTTCATTCTACTATCCTTTCTATTCCATATTCCCTCACCTCCCTTCACTCTCCTCTACTTAGCCTAAAGTAGCTCTATTCTTCCTTAGCACTCCCCCCCCACATTGTGAATTAGCATCCTCAAGTCAGAGAAAACATTCGGCTTTTGGTTTTTTGAAATGGGCTTGTTTCACTTAGCATGATGTTCTCTAACTCCATCCATTTACTGGGAAATGCCATAATTTCATTCTTCTTCAAAGCTGAGTAATATTCTATCAAATGGAACCACTATTTAGCAGAGCTATTCCACTCTTTGGTTTATACCCAAAGGACTTAAAATCAGCATACTACAGTGATGCAGCCATGTGAAAGTTTATAGCAGTTTAATTCACAACAGCTGGATTATGGAACCAACCTAGGTGCCCTTAAATAGATGAATGGGTACAATATGCAATTAGGCGTTACTCCCTCAATTCTTTGGTTGGCTTCTGTAAACGTATTATTTTTTCCCAGTTCTGACTCTGTTGTTAGGGCCCAAATTAAAAATGTTTATCTAACAGTCATGTATTTCCCTGCTCCAAGGACTAGTTTGACACCCAAGGAACCTAAACTGCTTCCCTGCAGGAGAAACAATCACAATACAGGATTTTCTTTACCTTTTGGTAACTAACCTAAAAAGCACAGAGTTTGTGTTTTGTCAAGATGTTTTTTTTGTTTGTTTGTTTTGTTTTGTTTTTCTTTTGCTATCTTAATTAAATTTTGATTACTTAAAAAAGAAAACCTGGGCCTTTGAAGAATAAAGATTTTTTAAATTTATTTGTTTGAAAGTCATGATCACTTTATAGGTAGTTAAATCTGGTTTATAAATCACAGTAACTAAATAAATAGCTATTATTTCACAGTAACCCATAATCTTATTTTGATCAAGTGTTTGAAACCCTTAGTATATGACATACTTCCACAAATCAGATTCTAAAATTAAGTCTTTTGGGATTCAAAACAACCTTAAACATTTCATAAGACCTTTGAAGGCTGAGAAAACATAAACTAGCTTGTTTGATTTGTTACATTACATGGAAAAATGGATGTTAAAATGGTGTTTAATCTTCTTTAAGTCATATTTGCATAACTGTGCTATTAACATGTTTATTAGTATTAGTTTGTAGGTTTTCTCATTGGATGAAAGCCTTTCCTTATAGATGAGCTACTGCTATAGAACTATGGAACAAATCATCTAAAGTGCATCTAAAATGATCATGAGTCCAAATTGGGAGATTACGCAGTGATAAAAGTCCTTATTTTGCTGGAAAATCAGATAAATATCTGTAGAATCTGACCCATTCTAGAGCATTTATGTTATACACACTCAATTGGCAAAATGTATAGACTCTTACATTGCCATAGCCCAGAGCTCTTTCCATAATTGTGTCCAATTTAAGGCCTATCTCCCTTAGAGAAAGCGTCTTTCTCCATTTAAAATCATGAAAAAAAAACCCTATGCACTTTGCCCTGTAGTCCTGCACCCTTAAATCACACAAGGAGGAATTCTTGCATATTGTCAAGAGCTCACCAAGGTTGTCAATAAAAATCCATTGGGCTAGTGATGAAGCTCAGAGGTAAATCATTTGCTTAGCATGTTCATGTCCCTGGGTTCAATCCTCAGCACTAATCACTCAATCATTACTCTTCATTAAAACAATCTTGGCACAGTGTGCTCCAGGAAGACAAAGATACCCTTCCCCATGGTTTATAGCTCACTGCAACCAAATGAAAAGGACCATATGAAGATGGTCTAAACCATAAGACATGTCTCTAGGGAGCTGACTCTCCTGCTGAGCAAGAAAAATCTCTGTGTTGTTCTGACCCAGCCCTACCTTTCCTAAAGGACTCCCCCCTCCCGCCCCTGGCCTTTGCTCATGAAATCACCAAATAATTTCTCCCCTGTGAGCCATGATTCCTGGAATTGAGCCTTCCCAGCTCAGTGGGATTTCCTCTGCACAGCAAGAAACACTAACTATAGAGATAACCTCATCTGTGTGGTCTTTGGTGAAGATTTTTTGTGACAAAGGGAAAATGATAATACAGAAACCTAAATGTCTTCAGAATGGTCAAAAAGAGAAGGAAAATCCTTTTCTAAGCCTTAGAGATTTTACTGGTGTGGTAAAACTATACTTCACAAAGTTT